AAATTTTATGCTCACCTAAACTGTTATTCAAGAGTGAGAGGAAAAGAAATAAAACCATCAAAAACAAAGGTCTCAGAGATTTAACAACCATGAGTCCTTGCCAAGGGAACTTCTAAAGGATGTACTCTAAGAAAAATGAACTTTAAGAGAGAAAGCAAGCCTTCAAAAACAGTGATGAACTAAGAAATCAGTATAACATATTGATAAATTTGAATAATGATCAACTGGCAGTAAATTTATTTCCAATCAGTAAATTGGTAGAAAATCAAGGTAGAACTAATTCTAGAAAATGACATGAAGAGAGCAGAGGAGAAGGGAGCATGGGTGCATGTTTGGGAGTGAGAGCACAAAGGAAATTGAAGGGGGTAACTGCTGGCAAAATAGAAATAGCATATACAGTTCAAAATAGTAGAGGGAAAATGAAACAAGGAAACTGGATGAGTAAAACAAAAGGCAGAACTGAAAGGAAGAAAGATAGTGAGATATACCCTGGTAATATGAAACACGAGTCCAAACATATCCACAATCAAGTTGTGCTCTGTTTACAAGAGTTACACTTAATACAAAAATACACCACAAGTTAAAAGTAAAGGTATAGATCACAGCCCAATCAGATAGCAGCAGTTACTGAGGTGGGGAGATGGAGGTGCCAAAGTGACTAGGACTTGAAGATCAAAGTTCTAGAGAGACTTTGAGCCCCAAAATCTGCACAAAATTTCTCCTCAAGTGACTGAATGCCTCCTTAGCTATATATACACACAGTGAGTCTCCAGGAAACCTATTAGAAAACAGCAGCTGGAAGACTAAAGAGTGGGGCAGAGATTTCAACAGCCACATGGTGTTAGAAAGACAGAAGTTTTAGCTCAAACTCTGCCAAGATAGACAGGCATTGATAAACACCAGGCTTGGTAAACACTCCTAGGCCATGCACTAAGGCATAGAAATATGCCCTAGGATTAAGGGAGGAACTGAAATAAATCATTCCTTACAAATTTGTTAGGACTGCCATAACAAAGTTCCACAGACTAGGTGGCTTAAACAACAGAACTTATTCTCTCACAGATCTGGAGGCTGGAGGTCCAAAATCAAGGTGTCAGCAAGGTTGATTCCTTCTGAAGGTTGTGAGGAAAAGATCTGTTCCAGATCTCTCTCCTTGGTTTGTGTATGGCTGTCTTCATCCTCAGTGGTGTCTGCCTTTTATGCATCTTTGTGCCTAAAATACCCCTTTTTATAAAAACAGTGGTCATATGGGATTAGGGCCCACACTAATGACCTCATTTTAACTTAGTAAAGACCCTGTCTCTATATAGAGTCACATTCTAATACTGAGGGTTTAGGACTTCAACATGTGAATTTTGTGCAGACACAGTTCAACCTGTAACAGTTTACTCTCTAGCCCCTTCATGTCCTTCACACATGCAAAATAAATATATCATCTCAGGATCCCCAAAGCTTTAACCCATTCTAGCACCAACTCTAGGTCCAAAATCTGATCCTAAATATTATCTAAATTAGATATGGGTAAAACTTGGGATATTACTCATTTCAAAGCAAAATTTCTCTCCAGGTATGAACCTGTGAACCTAGACAAGTTATCCCCTTCCAAAATACAATACAGTTGTGGGACAGGCCATGCAAAATCTATGATTAGTTGCAACTTTGAAATCCTCTGTAGGCAATAAAGTAATACAAATGTTATAGCTTTAAAACAGATACAGAGAAAATGTGACCTTGTAAAGATATAAATTCATAAACAGCCAAATTAGCAAAATAACTCACAAGCTGAAACAAGCAAAAAAGTGCAATTATTTTTTAAAAAGTAAATTCTATTTACTCAAGAAATACATGTTCATCTAGAAAAACATGGAAACAAAGATCTCTCAAATAAGAAAACAAGATCACTTAATCCCAACATGGTTAACATTTTGGTTTGTATTTTTCCAGACATTTTTCTATACAGATAGATATTTTCTATACAGATACGTATTTTCTGTAAAATTAGAATTATGAACATACTATGTTTTCCTTTTGAAATTAGTATTCATTTTGATTGCAGTAAAATTTTCAGAATATAATGCACTGATCTTAAGTGTACAATTGTATGAATTATAATGAATTATACCCATGTGACGTCCACCTGAATCAAGATTTCCAATACCCACAGAAGTTCCACTGTGGCTCCTTCATAGGCAACCACTGTTTTAACTTTTATCATTGTAGATTAGTTTTTCTTGTTCTTAAACTTTATAAAAATAAAATCATGAGGTGTGTATCACTCAAAAAAAAGTAAAAGTAAAGGGATAGAAAAAGATGTACCAGGCAAATCTGTTGTTTGTCAACTGAACTACTGCATTAGGCTCCAGTCTACAATTCCTGCTTCCACTCCTGCCCATAGTGCTCCCCCCATCAATTCTCTAGGTGTTTGCTGCACAATAGCTGAAGTGATCTTTCTAAAATGAAGTAAAGATACACAATTAGCCTTTGTTCAAAATTGGTCCTACCTAGGATACAATTCAAAATCCTTGCAAAGGACCAAAGGGCCCTCTGTGATCTGGCCATCCCAGGATACCTCTCTGACTACCATATTCCCACCTCAGTCACTGATCTACCCACATTGGCTGCGTTGCTGTTTCACAACACACCAAGCACTTTTCCATCTCAGGGCTTTGTAATTACTCAGTCATTTCATTCAGATCTCTGTTCAAATGTCATCTCATAAGAGAAGCCTATCCTGACCACCCTATTTAGAGTCCCTCCTCCATTACCATCTCATTTCCTTCCTTTTTCTTTATAGCACTTAAAACTATCTGGCGAAATAGACACATGTTTATTGATTTATTGTCTGTCTCTCTCACTAGAATGTAAGCTTCTTCATGTCACGAACTTGATCTTATTTACCCTGTATTCCCTAGAACCGTGCCTGGCACATGGTAGGTATTAGTTCTTATTTGTTGACTAGGCATTTTATATGTTATATAATAATAATAACAGTCCGTTTTAAAGAAGAGGAAACTGGACCACAACAAGATTTAGTACCTGGCTCAAGTTTTTATACTGGTAAGTGGTGGAACTGGTATTGAATGAAATATGAGTAAATACTAACAAAAATAAAACTGGTAGGCAGTATTGATAATCAGAGGAAATAGATTTCAAGGCAAAATGGTTTTAAAGGAACAAAGAGAAACACTTCAGATGTATTAGGGAGCACTTCGATAAGAAGTTTTAGCATACATGAACTTGAATGTATCTGCAATATAGCTTCTATATTTTGAGGGGAACGGGAGCGAAAACTGGCAGCACTCTGAATGGAAGAAGGAAAACCATGGTTATGGTAGATTAACCACAAGACCAAGAAGGCAAAATAATAAGAGAAGCTCTAAAAAATTTGAAGTACTCAGTTAACAAGATCAATCTTAATAGCAGCATACTCTTTTTATACATATAAAACAAGATCAAAAATAGACTGTTCTCTAGAACACAAAGGAACAAAGTTGTACAGAACATATATTTAACAACACCAACAAAGTTCCCAACAGATTAATGAGAGAAAACTATATAACCTGTGAGAAAAATGGGTAAATTTATATGAACAGACAGTTCGTTAAAGATATACAAATGGCCAAAAACATATAAAAAGATGCTAAATTTCACTTGTAATTAGGAACTGTACCGTTTTTCACACCATCAAATAGTAAAAACAAAAACAGATTAAAGCAGGTGATAATACTAAGTGTTGGCAAGGTAGTAGGTTGAGGAGTGGTGCTTTTAAATGCTAATTGTGGATTTGTAAATAGCCATAGCTCTGCAAGACAACTTGGCTTTATCTATTAAAATTTTGCTTTGTACTCCTAAGATCTGCCACTTCTCAGGCACCTCCCCTGGAACTCTGATGTAGTTTATTTGGATAGGACCTAGATTTTGTAGCTTTAAAAGTTTTCCGGGTAATTCTTACCATGGAAGTTTGAGTAACAGTTCAGTAGGCTGTTTTCTCCCACGTTTAAAGGTATTTTGAAAGAATGACGGTACAATTGAGTTAGTAGATTTAACAGAAAGACAAAAGTAACGTAGTAATAGAAAAGATCTGTGTGTGTATATATACCTTTTACTTTTTATATATATTGTAAGAACTGATTCTGTCACTCCCCTGCAAAAATTTTTGGTGGGAGCCTTTCTACAATCAGCACAACAGAGAGTAACATATTTGGTTTGATAGATGCTATGTCTAAAATGTTAACTTATTGTAGGAAAACAGGGTAAATATCTGGAACTTTAATGTTGTATAGTGTCGATTTTACATAATTTATTTAGTCAACCTCTGAAGAATGTATTTGCTGTAATAAGAGCAAAGAAGAAATGTAGAAACTTCAGACATGGTTTTCTACTCTTTTTTAAAAGGCTAGTGGTTTTCCCATTGCCTTCTAGTGCATCAAATCCAAGCATACCAGCATGGGATTCAGGGTGCCTGTAATCTAGCCTTTCTACAGCCTTACCTTGGATTCCTCCAGATGAATTCTCTTCTTGCATTAAAAGGTGTAATCATTGTGTCTTAAAAGCCCTCTCCTCCACCCTGATGTGTCCTCTGTCTTCCCATTTAAATGGGCTAAATTCAGAGCCTAGCTGAAGTTAACACTTTTGGGAAGGCTTTCTAACCAGAACTGCTGTGACCTTTTCTTATTTCTCTTCTTTCTCAACTTGTATCATTTATGGATTGTTCCTCTTATTTTAGTGTTTTAATCATGTAATGCTTATTTTTGGCCTTATTGTGTATTTCATTATAACATTGTCTAACTTTAGTGTGTCTTGTCTGCTTTGCTATAGTATAAGTTCCCTGAAGATTGCATTATTTCTGTAGAGACTTGGATAGCAATTAGCAAGTATTAAGTAAAACATTTGCTGAATGAATAGATCAAGTGTGTTCATTGTAGTAGAGTAGTAGAGACAATGGGATATCTTGTCTAACTTTTGTTTATTTTGTTGTTTTTGTTCATTTATTTTTGCAGTTTAGAATGTCTGTATCTCGGAGGAAACTTTATCAAAGAAATCCCACCAGAATTAGCAAATCTGCCTTCTCTGAATTACTTGGTGTTATGTGACAACAAAATTCAAAGTGTGCCTCCTCAGCTTTCACAGTGAGTAGTTCCAGGCAATTTGTGTATATACAGACATCTCTGCTTAGGAATAATTGTCTTGCATTCACCACATTTTATATGTAGAAAAGAATTAGGTATTCTCAAAGTAAACAATTCATGATAATTACAGTTCTGAGGTTTGCTGTGAGCTGGGTTGTTTATTTAAATTTTACTTTTAAATGCTCTAGTTTATTCCTCAAAATATTCATTCTGTTTTCTGAGTCAAAAAGTTGAATATTAATTTGGCATAGATTTCCCTAGGTTTTTATGGGAATTTTAGTGATTTTATATTCAATATGAAGCATTCCTATCCTAATGAGGCTTTATAATGTGAGGGATCTTCATTCCTATTGCATCTGAAATCTTTTCTTTCTTAGGTATCTGAATGATAAAGCATACTTCCAAAAAGAATCTTTAAATCTAATATTTATATCAACTAGCACATAAGAACACTTACTAAGTAGTCTAAGCTCTCTAAGATTCCAGGGGCAAAAGTTCTTCATGACATTTGCAGATGTGGACTGTGATCTAGTTTAAGCACCTTTTTATTTTACTTACATTGACCTTAATCTTAAACACACACACGCACACACACTAACTTTCTCAGTAGTTAGGTTGCTTACTGCCGTTGATTTTTGTACTGCATTCATTCTAGGATTTTTGTACTGCATTCATTCTAGGTTGCATTCACTTCGTTCCCTCAGTCTTCACAATAACTTGCTGACATACTTGCCTCGAGAGATCCTCAACCTTATTCATTTGGAAGAGTTGAGCTTACGAGGAAATCCATTGGTTGTTCGTTTTGTTAGAGATTTAACCTATCATCCTCCAACTCTCCTGGAATTAGCTGCGCGGACCATTAAGATCCGAAATATTTCCTACACTCCCTATGATCTTCCTGGGAATCTTCTTAGATACTTGAGTTTAGCCAGCAATTGCCCAAACCCAAAGTGTGGAGGTAAGTTAATTCAGTGTTCATGTTTCTCACTCATTTTAGCTGTTTTTTAATTTGATGATTAGTGTTGTTTTAATTAGCTAAGTCTTCTTTCAGAGAAAAGTAGTTAGCCTCTGTCTCAGTTTCCCTTATCCTTTCACCCTTTTATCAGAAAGTAAGACATTTCACTCTCTGTAGATTTTTTTAAAAATCTTTTCATAATATTTGAGAATTTATACACAAGAAAAATATTCAGGCAGTCTCATCTTGTCTTAGAACTATCATAAGATAATAAATTTAGATGGTAAAATGAGAGGAAACACATAGGAAGCATAAACAGACCTAGTAGTTTAAAAAGAGTTTCTAAAATGTTTGATACCTTGCATATTTATTTGAAGGACATTTTCTTAGACTCATCATTCTTTGTATCAGATACCTTTATAGGGTATGATTCAAGATGTATGAGAATGGGCCAATTTGAGGATGTACCCCACAACTTTATATTCTTTTAAATCCAAGGTTCAAAATTTCTTGAGTTTAGAACATTTGTAGAGAATGAAAAAGGAGAGAATTAAACAAGTGATATAATATAAGGTAGAGTATGGTAAGTATCCCAAGGAATTCAAAATGCTATTGGAGATCAAAGGAAGGAGAGAGTACATTTAATTAGATCTAGAAAAATGAGATGATTTTTGAGGTATGAGTTAGATTTTGATAGGGTAAAATTGAGGATAGGAAATGTTTCAGATGGAGAGAGCAAAGTGGAGACAGACAAGTATGGGGCAGAATGTTGGATGAGTAATAATTTGGCTCAAATGTACAGTTAGGAGAGTAATGAGAGACAAGAGTGAATAGATACATTGAGGTTAGGTTGTAAAGGGCCTCAAGGGTCAGAGTGGGTGAGTGGAATTGGTGATTGACAGCAGGTCATGTTATTTTGGCTCTCTCATAAAAGACTACTTTTTTAAAAATCCAGTTTAATGGGGGTATGAAAGGTTTTTTCTGTTATAGTACATAGGTACTGAGGAAATGAAGCATAAAGATGATCAAAACCAGGCGAGATTTTCCCTAGAAGTCCCATCTTGTCTTGAAATTGTTATAAGGTTAAAAAGAGAATAATTAAATTCCTTGAAGATGGTTAAAAAATAAAAGAGACACTTTTGGTTTAAAAAAGAAAAAAAGGTAATACTCTGGACCATTACTGGCCACTCACTCTTAGAAGTAGAGGTTGTAGTGCTGTGCCAGATTAGAAGTGCTTAAGCTTGTCTCTGCGGTTCTCTTTTCCTGAATTGACTTTAACTGTGGCAAGGGAAAACATATAGGGCAGCATTCATACCAGGCCCTCAGGCCTAATAGTCTAAATCTAGTCTTTTCTTTGAATCCATCTTTTTCTGGAAATGGACCTCTGCCAAAAGTTCTCTTTTCTCTCTTAAATGGTTTCTTAATGACTTCTTTAGTATACTGATGTGCTGTTTATCTTAGGAACCAAAATGCTTTAAAAATTATCAGTTTAAAATTTGAGGTAACATGAATGGGGCCGGCCCAGTGGCGCACTGGATAGTACGCCGCTTAGGAGGCGCAGCAGCGCTGCCGCCCAAGGGTTCGGATCCCACATACAGACCGGCTCCCGCTCACTGGCTGAGCGAGGCGTATTAGTTATTGAACTATAAGTTAAACAAAGGTAATTTTATATTCTGAGAGATGTTTTCTCTTTGTATAGTCTGAGATCTTACAAATGACAAGATAATATTGTACCGTCTTAGCTCATAGTAACTCCGTAATGCTTTATTTTATTACTTCTATTGTTTTCAGGAAGCTAACACATTTTGGGGAATTTATCAGTCAATTGATTGACCATTTTTTTAAAATTTACTTTCCTAAATTATTCAAAGTAATATAGCATGAATTTCCCCTTTTAAACTATGAGTTATACTTACTACAAGATCAGAAAAATAAAAGGTTAGTAGGAAAATATAAGGGGGAAAAAAAAGAAGAAATAAAAAAGCATTTATCCTTTGCTTGGACCACATCTTTTTATTTTCGTCTCTTATGTGATAAACACACAGTAATTGGTGCCAGAGGAAAGTTAAGTGGAGTTTCTCTCTAGATTCCTCTCTAGAGAGGCAATGGAACCCAGAGTTCTAGATGTTCCAATTATACTGCAGCCAATGGGACAGGCTTTGTGTGTGAGAGCTGTGTAGTATTTTTTTTAAGGATCAACCAGAACCCAGAGTCACAACAACCTCTACTCTCCTCTCAGCTCTAGCTGTATTTTTTCTTAGCTGAAGGGCCACAGTTCAAGAACACTTAATTAGGAATCAAAAGAGCTGAATACTAGTTTCAGTCTACCTGACAATATATTATTGTGTCAGAATCAAGTGAGATAATCTTAGTAAAACAGCTTTGAAGCCTGTAGATTTAGAACCTATAGAAATGTAAGATGGCATTTCATTTCTTTCAATTTTGCCTTCCCCGTACATAAGAACAGGTATATCAAAAGCTACCTCCTTTCTGCAAATTTGTGTATAATACTAATTCTTCAAGATAATTATGAAAGGAGTTGTATTGTTTTATTTTGTTTTAGTCTCCTAACTGTAGGGTAGTACCAGGGAGTTGCCGTAGGGGATAGAACAAGGGCACTTCAGTAGCCACTGTCACCCAGAGAAAAGAAGATAAATAAATCTCCTGGGTTTCTCTTTGCAGCCAACTTGCCACCCTTAAGACCTGCCAGTATTTCTGTATACAGCTATAGAAGCAACTACTACTTTTGCTTAAGATTCACAACAGAGTGGACTGTATATGACATTTCTCCGTAATGCTAGAGAAAGGGTTGAGAAAGAAACTAGTTCCTTGTTTTGTAGTGTTTACTTTGTATCCTTCTTCTCTCTAGGAGTCTACTTTGACTGCTGTGTCAGACAAATTAAATTTGTGGACTTCTGTGGAAAGTATCGCCTCCCACTGATGCACTACCTGTGTTCACCAGAATGTTCTTCTCCTTGCAGTTCTGCCTCTCACAGCTCCACATCCCAGAGCGAATCTGACTCAGAAGACGAAGCTAGTGTTGCCGCACGCAGAATGCAGAAAGTTCTACTTGGTTGAACAAGAGTTCGGGGTGGTGTGAAATACTGAAAAACTGAGCAAAGGTGGTTAGAGAGAAAGTAGAGCTTTACGTTCACTAGAAGGCTTATCTTCGTCTTAATTGTCCACGAAAGAGTCAGGAATGATGTAAAAGATTTTTGTGTTTCATCTACCCGTTCAGTAGGAATGAGTCCAATTCCATGTTTGGATTCTTTGAATATAATTTACTCTGAATGGCAGTAATTTGGCTGATTGTTTGCAATTTTCACTCAAATTTGGCATGAATCACACACCAGAATGGTATATTCTGAAGAGCAGTGCTATAATAAGCCATGAATAGTGTAACTTGTGGCAGTTGAGATGAAGAAAACGAGAAATTATCAAAGCCATAATTATTACCAGACTTGTCCTTGGGTTTAGGTTGAACACTGTGCTACACACAGGATTAGCCCTCCCATCTTATATTGCTCATATGTCTAGATTATAGAGCTATTTGATAAGTTCAGAGATGGTTACATAGGACCTAAGCCTTTCTAACCAACTAACTGGTAAAGTAAGGGATATAACTTTTAAGTGGAATATTAAAACTTTTCTGTTCTGATTGTTTGTTCTATATGATTGTTATTAACCTTATGTAATCCAGCAGTGACTGCTACAGTGCCTTAATCCTAACAAGGATATAGAAACTTATTCAAGAAATAATGCCAGAGCAACCTGTAACCAGACATATTATGCAGAACACTAAAATATACTGTTTTTTTTTTTTTTTGGTGGCTGGCCGGTATGGGGATCCAAACCCTTAACCTTGGTGTTATCAGCATAAAATATGCTTTAACAGAGCTAGGTAAACAACTATATATCTAATGTCTGAGCTCATGGCCACCTTAACGTCACTTTTTTGTTTAAATGTGCAATGATCCCTTGTAAGTGAATTACTTTTACACTTAATGGGAGGCCACAATCTGGATCAGTTTGTTCATAAGCTGTAATAATAGTTTTTGACAGAAAAATCTAGAAGAGGTATAAACTAGGAAAGCTTCTTTATATCTTGCATTAAATGAGTGGGCAAAAAGTTTAAAATTTTTAAGAGTCAAATATGACTCCCTTGCTTATATACTGAACTGTAACTTTATATGTTTTAAAGAAAAACTACTACAACTAGAAAAACATAACAAGCCAAATAAAATTGGGGCAGGAGGCACTGTGTTTATTATACACAATAGAACAGTTCTAAAACTAGTTTAACCATGAATTTTTTTGAAGATGAAGTATTGATCAATAGAAAAAAAATGTATTAAATATATTGTATCCTTAAGTATAGCAGAAAAATAGTTTCACAAATGAATTGCCATTAGAAATTATAAAATTTTTATTAATTAGCTTAATATGCAATAGAAAATGAATAACAGTACAAACTATAAGTTGATATTATAAAATAATATAGAATAATTCTTACAGGTAATCATTATATAACCCACCTATAACAACATGATGGTTTGTTGGTAAATGTTAAATATGCAGTAATGTACAAGTCAGATATACATTAGAACATCAAATGATCTCTTCTGACTTCTGACATTCATGACTGGGCACATCATTTCTTGAAAGCAAGTATTTGTATAATAATGATATATACATATGTTAGGTTTTTTTCATATATAGTATATTTTTACTTTAGAAGAAAATATAGTATAGGATAATTCAGGGTTTGTGTGTTTATCTGTATGTTAATTCATGAAACATGAGAGTTTCATGAACTGCAGTCGTGACACGCTGCTATAGAGTGAATCCCTTTACCTTCTCCTTGTTAAAATGTAGTAAGATTCTTTTGTTTTTTTCTTTTGTACTGTTTTGTTTTTGGTTCTGGCTGGCATGGGGATCCAAACCTTTGACTTTGGTGTTGTCAACACCAGACTCTCCCAAGTGAGCCACTAGCCAGCACCTTTTTCCCTTTTGATTCAGAAATTGTCTACATCTATAGAATTAATCTGTTTCTCCTGCCTAGCATAGTAGTACATGGATGATTATATCATAAAATGGAAGTAATAAAGTCTGCTTGTTTCTCCATGTGAGCCACAGCAAACTGCAAACTGCAAAATTGTGAAAAGTAAAGATGACTTAGGCGGTGCCTATGTGACAACCTAAAATGTTTTGTAAGTGACTGACTTACAAAACATTAAGGTACATGAAATATTTTCATAGAATACAGTGTATTTATAGTAAAATATTCAAATTGTTAGGACCAAATTTTTCTGGCTCAAATGCTTCTGCTCATTTCCTAATTGATTAGTAGCTTACTAAAGTAACAGCTTGAGTAGTTCTCTAAGAGTTAGTTTTTGTAACAAATGGGTAGGTGTATAAATATAGTACTTCACTTTACATACCCTTCCCAGCTTCCTAGAAAGAAGCTATACTTTTGATCTTTTACAGTTGTAAATAGGTCTAACCAGAAACAGTTTCTAGCCTTTTCCCTATACTGTAGATGTATTCCAGTGTTTCTTCAACAAAAAGTTTCTTATGGTTTTCTGTATGTACAGTTGAAAAATCTATGATCCCTGTGCAACTGTCTTGGTAACTGTTAAAGAAATCTACATTTTATCTGTTTTATCTTTTGTTTTGTTTTAATCTTTGACCTAACCTTTTACAAGAGCTACTAATAATTTCTAAGATTTTCCCTGTTTCTTTTCCCTACTTTCCCTTTTTTCATAACTGATGATTATATTAACTGGAAGGTGAGATACAAAGGCTGACTATTTAAAATGACAGTCTCTTTAGTGGCTAAGTCACATGTTTGTATTTAGCTACAGTTAATAAGCTTTAACTAGTTTCTTTTTTAAAAGATTTACACAATTGTCAAAATGTAATTTTCATGTTTTTGATAGTGCTCCACTTGGACAATTTTAGTAACCAAAACTTCTATGGATAAAACTATGTAAGCAAAGTATTGATGTATTTAGAATGGGATTCTTCAGTGCTAATATTTTAATTGGAATGGGTACACTGTACATTCTTAGTAGTCTTTATTCTTAGAATTCATATCTCTCACTATCACCAAACTGAGTTGGTGAGATAGTCGTAGGATTTTAGGAAATAGGAAGATTAGCTGATAAATTCAATTCCATGGTGCCAGGCATTGGCTGACATGAGGACCAGGTGGTATTCCCTGTTTTCCAGTAGTATAGGTAGATTCAAAGGTTGACTGTTTCTATTTTACTTCTGAATGTGTGCTTGAAGGTGTCTCTTTTTCTAAAGTTTTTGATACTTAAACTAAGTTACTAACTGTAAAAGTAAAGACTTGCATTGTATACTGTACCTCAAATTTGAGAAATTTTTGTGTTGATGTAAATAAGTAAAAGGCAGTTCACAATAGTGCAGTATAATACTGGAGACCAATTTTATCAGATGTTGTAAATATCAGGTTTAAACAGAAGGGAAAGACTGATTGCTGGAATGTTAAATGAAAGAAATTTTTGAAAGCAACAGGGCAGGGAAAGGGAAATCACCAGATACCCAGAGAAATCCCTGAGCCAAGAAAGCTCTTTAAAGTTATAGTGAATTTTTTCAAAATTATTATTAAGTGGCTACCATCCTTTATCACTAAATTTATTCATTATCTGCTATCGGGAAATTGTCCACATCCATACATAAGGAAGGACCAGAAAGTAGATTTTCTTACAGCCAACCTTACTCTTCCTAACGGGAGAAAGTAATACCTCATTAACTTGGAATTTGTGGTACAGCAGGTAGCGTTGGTTAATGTTTACCTTTTCAGTATGTAAAGAAGAAAAAGCAAATAGAGCAAATAAAGTTTGATGTTTTAAAAGCATTTTAGCAATAGCTAATTATATAAAAAGTTAATGATTATTATTCCTAAATCTTATAAGACCCCTGTTGATAAAACTTTTATTTGTTATAGTGTGTATAAAATAGGTTACATTTAGTTAGAAATACCTAATTTTTATCTAAATGATCTCTGTTCTCATCCAAAGTAGAGATTTTATTCCATCAGTAAAAATGTTACTCCCCATTTAGTCTAAAGTAGTGAGCTTTTAAGTTGTGCTGGGCGTTTAACAGCAGTAAGGGCTATTTAGGTTTTTAGGCAACATGCTCTGTAATGCATAGTTCTGCTTACCTCTGTATAGGAAAAAGTACTTGACCTTCCCTGTTTCTATATTAAGCACTATGCTTTATATAACATTAATGAACTTAATAGCATGCAGTTTTGTATTTTCATTATAGTCCTGATCTTTTTAAAGGTAGCAGTGTCTTCAGTTGTGGTCAGAAAGTATGTGCCTTAAGTCCTCCACTCTAGACCCCAAAGTTTTTTTTTGTTTTTTGGTTTTTTTTTTGTCTTTTGTCTTTTTTCCGTGTCCGGCAACGGATTGCAACCCTCAGTGTTGTTAGGGGCCGGCCCAGTGGCGCACTGCTACAGTGCGCTGCTTGGGAGCGCGGCGGCGCTCCCGCCGAGGGTTCGGATCCCACATACAGACCGGTTCCCGCTCACTGGCTGAGCGAGGTGCGGGTGCAACACCGAGGGTTGCGATCCCGTTGCTGGTCCCGGTCCGGTACGGGCGTGACACTGAGGGTTACGATCCGTTGCCGGACACGAAAAAAGACAAAAAGGAAAAAAAAAAAGAAAAGGAGAATTAAAAGATAAAACTAATCTTTCCATGAACTTTTTGAATACCTTCATATTTCATTTAATAAGTTGTCTGTGACAGCCGTGTGACCTTTTGCATTTGACTTAAGAGAGAAAGACTGTGATCCCGAGAGAATCCTTCCCCTAAAACATGAGTCGAGGGCTTCTGGGGAGGGAACCTCAGTCATGCATTCTGTCACAGTGGTCAAAGCTGTAAGGGTCCAGGTACCCTGAAATAAAATCAGTAAAAGTACATATGAAGGTACTTCACAAAGTTGATGGAAAAATAGAATTAAAAGATAATATGACTCCATGAACTATTTGAAGTAACCTCATGTTCTCTTATATATTATTTTCTTTAAAAAATTTTATCTGATGCCGAGAAAGAACGACAGCAGTTTCTAACCAATTTTATATTTACAGCATCATATGAAGATATTGTTACTATGAGGCCTAACATTTTGCCACTGGTTTTCTTTGTAATATAGGTTGAAAGGAGGGGTATGTTTTAATACTTTTGCATATAAATATCTTCCTTCATTTTCTCCTTGGTCTATATTTACCAAAAATTGATGTAAAAAATAATAGTAATAATAGCTCACTAACAGACATTATGCATTATTGAACACTCACAGGGTAATATTGATTTAGGTGCTACGAGACTTTTACCTAGCACTGGTTAGTTTTAATAATTCTTGTAAGGACAATATTCAATCTAGTAAATTTTAAAATCTATTAGTTTAATGAAGTTTAATCGGACATAATTCAAGCTTCAGTGAGTTTTGGGGGGACATAATCCACTACATGGATGCATGTTCTAATGAGAAATTGGTGAGATCATCTTGTTGACTAAAGTCAGTCACTTCTTGCATTTAGTCCAGAGTCACACAATATTAACCCAGGGTAATAGAGTGCTAACTAAGCACATTGATATTACAGTACTTCATATTACTGTTCTTAGA